TCTTTAACATGTAGGCTTTATACCACGGTGCCTGCAGTACAATCTCAATGCCCTATAATGACATCCCAAGTGACATCAGCTCCATGCACAAGCTTAAAACCCCAAAAGGAAGCTTTTATCCAGCTTTTCATCTTTTTTTTCCTTTTAATTTTTGCCGATACCTTTAATTTTGACAGGTTCATTAAATTTGGACGTATGGATTCCGCGAAAACTGTCCTTTTTTTTTGCTCGGATGACGTTATTGTGAAGGTCTTCATCAACAATGCACAAACACTGCTCATACACATAACAGCTCGTGAACGGTTGACGAGAATTACACTTACCCAAAGACTTTGCTCAACTGAACCGAAACATTAACCATTATGTTCTTAACATGTCTCTTTACAAGCATATCAACTTTCAATCAAATCTACCCGCAGTGAACTGAATCCCCCTCCACTTGTTACATTGTCGCCTGCTAAATTTGTCGCAAGATTATGAAGATGATGACTATGTTTCCCTCCCAACTCTCAAACTGGACAATTTCCCTAGTCTTCTCAGATTGTTGGTTATTATTGTGAGGCGTTCAAGGCTTATCTTTATTTCCATAAATTAATATTATGAATATGAAATTACCCTCCTTTCTGTTCAGTTGCCTGCTTTCTCTGCGTATTTTCCTCTGCATCATCTATTTCCACTTGACTGCTTTTGTTACATCAGTAATGTATACATGTACCTGTTTATGTTTATAGTCTTGTCATTTAGCCTTCGAAAAAGACTCTGCTAGGGTCGAAACGTCAGGCCACTAACTTTTTTTTTTGCATTTATACCATAGGTCCTTTTGGTTGGTAAGCAGTTTGCAACAGCTAATTGTATTTTTCGAATATGAAATTGAATTAATTTCTGCTCTACTGAGAAGACAGGGAGGACCATATTTTTTTTCCAAAGGAAAGAAGGTGAACGAATCTCTTGAAAAGCTACCTGCATTTTAAATAGCGTTTTTTGTTACGTAAGAAGCTGGTAGTTAACGAAACAATCGATTCCTAACACAGAGTTCCGCTGGTACCAAATTGGATTGCTGAATATGATGGTATGACGCCCAGCTTTAAGTATAACCACGACGTAAGCAGCCGAGCTACGACACCAGAATTCCGCCGAATTTTCATGATAAAGACCTTTGACCTGGCTCGTACGCGCACCATCATGCATAATAATTACCCTACTGGTAAACACGCTGGCTGGTGATCAATTCATACATCATCGTCGATGCACGTACGTACACCGTTCGCTGCCAACTACGTATCGTACACGCATCGATACGCATAATAAAACATAGCGATATTGCCGCGTGCGGATGAGTGTTGCTTTGAACCCGCTGAATTATGTTCCAGTGTCTTTGACGTGGATGCAATTTTGCAAACAAAACACAAAAACGACATAATGACTGAGGAATAATTTCGGTATAGGAATCTGGGTGCCTCAGGAAATACCGAAGATGAGCACAGTGTCTACTTTGCCGACTGCTATCACTGATACTACTGATATAGCGTTCAACACTACCTGCCCGGTCTATGTAGTGGAGAAATTTGTCTTGCCTAACGATTGGGATGATCCCATCTGGATTTTAACCAGTGCCTTTGTCATATTTACTATGCAATCCGGTGAGTAATCCTAGGCCTAATATCTTTTTAAAAATCCCATATTTCAAATATATGCCATTTTCCTTCAGTTTCTTCCTGTATAGGGAAGATAATGCGACATGCGATAGTATATTCGGTACTTGCATTTGTAATTTGTCAGTGAAAATGCCGCATGACAAATGCAAAATGATTAGAGTCGCTAGCTACACAAATGCGAATCGCTTTACATCCATGGCTTTTGGTTTTGTAAATTAAACCTACGTTAACACCTGTTCACTAAGCTTATTGTTGAACTGTTCTTTTAAAATAATATAAAAGAACAGATTATATATAGATTATAAAGTAACGTTCATATTCTGGTATTATTTGTTGGCGCGCGTCTGCTGTTTCATGTATCAAAGTATATTCGTGCAACCGTGACCTAAAAATGGCGTTTGCGATCGTTTAATCTTATTGATGATAAATCAAATAGATTCGAGAGGAGAGAGCTGTGCCCGGGGGCGGAGACTGATAGTGATAAAATAGGGGTGGATTAGAGGGCGGGGTCATTTGGACAAGGTCACAAATCGATATTCCTAGAATTTGTTTCATTTTTTTTAGTGTGATTGCTTTTAGGTGCTGTGTTTCGTGTTAACTCCCTGAAAAAAAAAGCAGGAATGGGGCAACGGCATGATAAGATCATTGGTATTATATTACAAAGGAATTGAATACGACTTTTCCGAGAATTGTATTCTTTTTCAAGGAACATCCCGGGTTTTCATTCGCATGATGTTAGTTATGATATCAACAATTTTGGTCAATATTTATTATACAAATTTATTTGAAAGACATCGATTAGTATAGTATTTTATTTTGACACGTATTTATTGATCAATCGTTAGGGATTGATTACATTAAATGTAGTTTAAGTGAGGATTATTTAAAGTGTGCAGTCCTTAATCTTTGATCTGATTAGGCTGAGTACCTTTCATTCTTTAATGTTAATATCGTTCTTTTACGCTCCATTTATGTGGTGTAAGAGTTTTCCGGATAATGAGGAACGATTCATTCACAAATGACGGTTATAGGCTACTCTAGTACCCATAGTCATGTAGGAAATATGACAACATACAGCTGTTATTTTCTATTGCTAAACATGTGTTATATTCAAGTATTTATAGAAATAGCAGGTGCATTTGATCAGTTAGTCTGGTGTCTTTCCTGTCTTCTGTCAAGCGGTTGTTCACATTGGTGAGACATGACGTTGACAATCTTTCTTACCTGTCAAGCAGCTTGTAGCCCACGTGCCACTCAAGTGTATCACAAGTCTTCACAAGTCAATCACAAGTCAATCACAAGTCAATCACAAGACAATCACAAGTCAATCACAAGTCAATCACAAGTCAATCACAAATCAATCACAAGGCAATCACAAGTCAATCACAAGGCAATCACAATTCAACCACAAGTCAATCACAAGTCAATCACAAGTCAATCACAAATCAATCACAAGTCAATCACAAGACAATCACAAATCAATCACAAGTCAATCACGAGTCAATCACAAGTCAAGCACAAGTCAATCACAAGTCAATCACACGTCAATCACAAGGCAATCACAAGTCAATCACAAGGCAATCACAATTCAACCACAAGTCAATCACAAGTCAATCACAAGTCAATCACAAATCAATCACAAGTCAAGTACAAGCCAAGCGCTACTTTATCACAAATCAATCACAAGTCAATCACAAATCAATCACAAGTCAATCACAAGTCAAGCACAAGCTAAGCGCAAGTTTATCACAAGTCAATCACAAGACATCCAGTCCAGTCAAGTGACAAGGTACAAATGATCTGTGACTACGTAAAGGTTCTTAGCCCACGTGCCACTCAAGTGTATCACAAGTCTTCACAAGTCAATCACAAGTCAATCACAAGTCAATCACAAGACAATCACAAGTCAATCACAAGTCAATCACAAATCAATCACAAGTCAATCACAAGTCAATCACAAGACAATCACAAATCAATCACAAGTCTTCACAAGTCAATCACAAGTCAATCACAAGTCAATCACAAGACAATCACAAGTCAATCACAAGTCAATCACAAGTCAATCACAAATCAATCACAAGTCAATCACAAGTCAATCACAAGACAATCACAAATCAATCACAAGTCAATCACGAGTCAATCACAAGTCAAGCACAAGTCAATCACAAGTCAATCACACGTCAATCACAAGGCAATCACAAGTCAATCACAAGGCAATCACAAGTCAATCACAAGGCAATCACAAGTCAACCACAAGTCAATCACAAGTCAATCACAAGTCAATCACAAGTCAATCACAAGTCAAGTACAAGCCAAGCGCTACTTTATCACAAATCAATCACAAGTCAATCACAAATCAATCACAAGTCAATCACAAGTCAAGCACAAGCTAAGCGCAAGTTTATCACAAGTCAATCACAAGACATCCAGTCCAGTCAAGTGACAAGGTACAAATGATCTGTGACTACGTAAAGGTCCTTTGTCATGGTTTATCCTGTTGTGTATCGGACAGCGGGTAACCGAGTACCCGACCGCTGATGTCAGGAACAGGTTCCATTATGGAATCGGGTACTAACCAACGTTACAATTTACTTAGTAAACTTTTCAAACAATGAAAAATAAAAGGAAATTTACAAAATGAAAACTTGAATACATGGGGAAACCAAAACAGATTTCACGTTTTTGTGCATTTTAACGCACGACCCATGACGCTTGCGAAAGATGCAGTTTACACTGTAAAGCTATAAAGCTCTTCAGGGGGGCAACCCTGCATTAAATAGACACAAGTGCTAAATGCCCATATTTCAAAATTCTTTTAAAAATACTCAATACTCTCACAAGTGTTTGAGCTGCACAAAAAAAATGATGGTCAACATGTCATCTTTTATGTTCTGTTAAATTTGTGGTGGGTTGACCACTGATTTTTCGAGAAATTCTCGCTCACAGAAGACCACCCCTATTTTCCCCAAAGCGGAACGGTAGCCATGTTGAAAACGATCCCTCCACAACATGGAAAATCGCGCCACTTTCGAGCCCAATTGCATCCAAAATGCTCAGAATAGGAAGCCTCGAGTCTGGGCCAGAGGTTCATGCCATATCTCTTCAATTCCCCTATGTTATGGCTCTCAGAACTCACTAATATAAAATATTTTGAGGGTATAACTATTATTCATGACCTCGGCGGATGGATTTAGGCCTATTTACCGGTGTGCACCCATAGACAACTTCCGGAAGTTGGGGGGTTTTTTTTACGGGTACCAGGGTACCGTGTTTTGCTTCAATAGGGTACCCGGTGCCCGTACAATCCCGTGTCATTTGTAACTTATGATTTGCAATGGCGTGTATAATTGATTTGTGATTTAGCTTGTCCACAGTTGGTTTAATGTTTGTATGTTTTTTCCTCCTCTCAACCGATACGCATCCATATAACTTCCATATTAATCAGTTTTGAAAGTGTTAAGACAATTTTACTTATCCTAAACTGCTTCACGTGTCAGGTGAATGCAGGAATTGCGCCGCCCTCGTTGTAAATCTGCAAGTTACTTCTGTTTTTTTTTTGTTCTCCTTGTCGCATTGCATAATGAAGGTGCCGTGGTCCAATGTTTATGGTGTCTGAATCGTGTCGGGGTCGTTTTTGTGTTTTCGCGTAAGACATTTTACCACAATTGCCTTTCTCTACCCAGGCCAGGGGTATGAATGGATACCTTTGAGGGTAGAGACCAGATTGCACTGATCCTGAGATGCTGCAGAAAACTGATTTCATGGTCTGATACCGGGCGTAACAGGGCCCCAGCAGGGAGAACAGTTTACAGACAACTGATGGGGCTACCCTGGTAAAATAAAACGAAATAACTAAATAAAGTAATAATAACTCTGAAACTCTTACAGATATTGGTCAAAAGCGCTTAATAAGTACGGTACTATTAATCTATAGAATCCTGCAAACGGGTGATGGTTTGTTTAAGTCGCGTCTTGATTAGGGCGACACGCCTTATTGGGGCGACAATTTGTTGTCACCCTATTGTTAAAACGACCCTTAGGACAAGGAATTATATCGTCGCAAACCATCTAGATCGATTTCTCGTGGTCCAGTTGGTAAAAATACCGAATTTCGTGGAGAAAGGATAAGGTCAACTTGGGTTAGGTGACGGTTTAGGTTGTGCAGAGTCGCCATATTATAGCATTTTAATAGTAGAAATTATAATTATTATTATGATTATTGTTGTTGTTTTCATTCAGGGTTTGGCCTGCTTGAGAGCGGTACAGCCACATCCAAAAATGAAGTCAACATTATGGTCAAGAATGCGGTGGATGTTATATTTGGAGGGATCACTTACTGGACGGTGGGCTATGCCTTCAGCTTCGGCGACCCAGTGCACCAGAACCAGAACGCCTTCTCGGGATATGGCAACTTTTTCCTGGACGTGCAAAGCAATAGCTCAGAAATTGGTCAGCGGTACTCGCATTTTATCTTCCAGCTCGCCTTCGCTACTACGGCTACCACCATCGTATCTGGTGCGATGGTGGAACGAACTCGTCTCGAGGCCTACATTATTTTCTCTCTCCTAAACACTCTGATTTCCAGTTTTCCCTCACACTGGGTCTGGTCCGAAGTCGGTTTTTTGTACAAGATGGGCGTGGTGGACGTTGCAGGGGGCGGGCCGGTGCACATTGCCGGCGGAGTGACGGGACTAGTGGCGACTCTAATGCTCAGACCGCGCCACAGAAGGTACAAGACCTCAGACCCCCCGCCCATGGGTTCACCGACCAACGCCATCTTGGGCATGTTTATGCTATGGTAAGTTTGAGCATTTGCCCTTATGATCAGTCATGTACCCTTTGTGAATTCTACGATCCAACAGTCATTATTTAAACTATTTTTAGATCATTTTGAGGTTGAGCAAAGGCAATTAGAGTGGGATTTGAACTCTCGACCTCAAAACGCCACACCAGCACGCTTCCAAATGTGCTATCCAGCGATGTTGGCATTTCTCTAATTTGTCAGTATCTGTATTCATTTGGGCGTTAATCTGAAGTCATCCGTATAATGTGCCATGATTGTGGGTAGGTATAACATCCAAAGTCAGAAGCTGAAGCAGTATCAGCATTGCTGCAAACCTGGCAGTATCGCATACGAAACAAATGGTCGTAACTATCGAGGAATAAGTAAAAACGAACCCGGGCAATGTCATTGTTTACTCATAGAACCGCCTATTAATGACGAAAGTACGTTGTCATCTAATACAAAACAATGCTCTATGATTCTGACTATAAAATCTGGCACTGTGTATTCGCCATTACCGCGCATCCGTGAGAAACATCTGCCTGCGGATCTTTACATACGTGCAATCAGAGTGTGTTGCCCCCTTGTTTAGTACACTCGAAGCTATCGAAAGATCGCAGGCAGAAAACGGTGGTTTTTACATTTTTACGGAGATGACTTTCGCATAATTTATGTCTATACTAAAAAAATAAACCTTTGCAGGCAAATTTACCTAAAACTTTGGTTCACTGATAATCTGCTTGTAAAGTACATCACAAATTTTACTGAAATAAAATTGAGGCATTGCCTCATTTCGAGACGGTTATTATTCCATTCTGCAACTTTCCATAAAACAAAACAGATGAAGCTTGCGTTGTCTTTCGTTGAAATAAGGGTTGTGCATCGTAACTGGATGCCCGACCGCTGATGTCAGGAACCGGTTCCAGATTATGGAACGGGGTACCCGTAACCAACTTTACAAATGATTTAGTAAAGTTCTCAGACAATACAAAAAGAAATTTTTAATGTGATCTGTGGACAATTTTCAAAATGAAAACCAGGCTACACATGTCACATTTATGCGCATTTTAACGTGTGGCAGATGACCCTCGCGAAATATGCAGTCTGTAAATCTATAAAGCTTTTCAGACAACTTGCAGGATTTGTATTTTGGGGTTAGGTTTCTTTTATACGGATACCCTGGTATCCGTGTTTTAATTGAATGGTGTACCCGATACTCGTACTACCCGTAAATGCACACCACTAATTAATGCATGGTTTTCTTAATCAAATAAAATATTCAAGAATATTCAGAATTCCCAAAGAAAAACAAATGCGCCGGATAAGGCAAAATATGCAGAAATCCCTAGGTAAAGATTAAATGTAGTTATAAAAACAAATTTGGCAGCTTTTCATTTATACAACATTCCTACACTTGAGACAGCGAATTTATATGAATCAATAGTTTTTCATCTTCACTTCCCCATCGCTGAACGAGGAGACTACGTTTCTTTATTCCTTCGCCTTGATGTACGTGTATAATGTATAGCTCCTCTTTTGTAACCAATTTGGCACTATACTGCACGTAAAAATAAGCTTCGAGTATAAGACACCATGCTCACAAATAATGTATAAAGGTGTCATCAAGCATAACATAATTTTCATTTCGTAACCGCTTGAAATATATTCTGCATTCAGGAAATATGGAGCTTAAAGCTTGCATACCATTACCGGCATTAAATATTACTAAATGGTGCCTGATGTACGAGCCAAGCTTAGGTCACCCTCGGAACAAAATATCAAATTTTGAAATAACGAAGGTGAGTTAAGGCATGACTAGGTTCACTCTTGCATAATGTTATTTAAGGTAAAATGACGTATTTGCATTGATTATATAACACACATTTCAATCATGTGATTATCCCACCAGTAGAAATATCTTGCCGTCATCAAAATAACCAGGGCCTCCCACATGACCGACGCCATTCGAATCCCAGGGTGATGAAATACGCATTGGCGAAAATTAATGATGGTATAGGCTGTATACAGTTATGTAACGGAAGCTCTAGAATACAGTTACATATATAGTGAACTCTATTTTGGCGTCAATTTAAGACACCAATGCCAATAGTTAGGAATCAAGAAAGAGCTAGGCGTTCTGCGAAGGGGAGCGTGTCAAGAGGCATGGTCTCTAGTGCGCAGTATGGTGCATATCCCTGGGGAGCGTGTCAAGAGGCATGGTCTCTAGTGCGCAGTATGGTGCATATCCCTGGGGAGCATGTCAAGAGGGATGGTCTCTAGTGCGCAGTATGGTGCACATCCCTGGGGAGCGTGTCAAGAGGCATGGTCTCTAGTGCGCAGTGTGGTGCATATCCCTGGGGAGCATGTCAAGAGGGATGGTCTCTAGTGCGCAGTATGGTGCACATCCCTGGGGAGCGTGTCAAGAGGCATGGTCTCTAGTGCGCAGTATGGTGCATATCCCTGTGCTTTTGGTCACAGGTTTCCTCTTCTTCTTTTTTTACAAAAAAGAATGTTGTGGGATAAGTCAATAATATTGGTTCTCAACTTCTGGAGGGGGAACTCAGTGGGTTAGGTCTTAAGATCAACAAAACTGTGCCTTCTCCATATTCTGTGAGGGAACTATTTGCTTAGCGAGGATCAGCTTACCACCTAACTGCCATGCGCCATGCACGTCTTGAATACTGTTTCTCAGCCGATTTGCCTCGCACCTGAACTTCCAAACCAATATTTTCAGCTCACACAAATCTCCGTCTCCCTGTGTATGCGATGATATAGACATATAGTGCTGATAATTGCGCGTGATTATATCTTGTATTAACCACACCGCGGCTGTCGGTTATATCCTGGACATCGTTCAATGCGGATCATTAGCGATACAAGTGGCCTGCAACTACTGCCCTGCAAAATAATGACGGCTCGTAGTCCTCATTAAGATCGCAGTATAGACAAAGAACAAGTAAAACAGAAGGTTGGCGCATAGCTAGAGGAAACTTTGCAACACGAGCAATTGCAAGGAAGATGATTTAAAGGGTAACCGTTGTCCTTATTTGTATTATATGCAGAATTAGAACCAGAGGTATTGGAATTGAAGGTCAACTTTTTCATTTCCAGGCAAAGGCCTCTGCCTCTGGCTTCCGTTTTTTGTTTTTTGTATTTTTTTTGTGATTAGTGTTGTTTGTTTGGTTGTTTGTTTGTTTGTTTTGATGCCGAATAAATAATAATAATAACTATTGCACCTCGTACAATCTGAACATGCGCAGGTTGATATTTAATTGTAAATAGTTGTAATAAGCCGCGCGGTTCGGTATTCTAACTGTGGACGTGAACATTAACACTTTACTTGTAACTTTTGTGTTAACACACAACATTAAACGCATACACAAGTCTATTGGAGGCTAGTAGCGAATGATAATCTGCAATCGAAAAATGGAAACAAATTTGCAAAAAAACCAGAAAGAAATAGAATGATAAATTGTGGACAAATTGTTGTTTTATTATTCAGAATTAGGTATTTCTTTCACAACAAGACCTGTTCCTTTATTCCGTTGGTGTGTTCTGTATAATTATGCGCAATGCAATGTTTGTTTATCCCAGAGTTAAATTCGTCACTTTTTTATGCGCACACGCGCAGTTAATACAAGCCACACTGGCTTGTGAAATTGAAGTGGGCGTTTGTTTAAAAAAATCCAACAATGGCCCAAATTAAACCCACCACTCTTCAGCTTGCAAACAATCATTTGTTTTTGTTAATTGCCAAGTAATAACCCCGGCACTCGAAATGACGAATTCCCCAAAATGATTTGCTTTTCTACACTTTCTCAATCATGATGAAATTGCCTTTGAAAGAATAAAAACGATTCTGCAGGAAAAAAAACTTGCAAATAATTGATTTTTTTTGACAGATAGTAAAGCTATAATGTGTACACTTCGCGCAAAAGTCGTCGCCGTAGATGTTGACATTTCCACCTCACGATTTCACGGTCTATATAACTTACGGATAGTGGACATAGCAAAATGCAAACCCTAGGCCTTCAATTTACACAACGCTTGCGTGTGCATGGTCAGGGCCATCGTTGCATCACTATTATTTCGAAGCCAACTTATACCTTTATAATTCTGCACATCTCAACATCGTTCCGATGCCGTCGAGCACTACACTCTCACTAGCGCTGCACTCTTGCCCTGGTGCTGGATTATTTGTTCATGAATCATTTGATCATGATTGCTGGATGATTACTAAATCATGATTGCTGGATCATGGTTGCTGGATCATGATTGCTGGATCATGGTTGCTGGATCATGGTTGCTGGATCATGGTTGCTGGATCATGGTTGCTGGATCATGGTTGCTGGATCATGGTTGCTGGATCATGGTTGCTGGATCATGGTTGCTGGATCATGGTTGCTGGATCATGGTTGCTGGATCATGATTGCTGGATCATGGTTGCTGGATCATGGTTGCTGGATCATGGTTGCTGGATCATGGTTGCTGGATCATGGTTGCTGGATCATGGTTGAGGGATCTAATCTTGATTGCTGGATTATGATTGCTGGATCATGATTAGCCTATGGATCATGATTACTGCATCATGTGGTCATGCTCAAAAATCGTGAACATTATAATTGGATAAGGTGTAGTCGGGTGCCGTTATGACTATGCGAGTCCAGAATGTGTTGTTGTTGTTGTGGGGGGGGGGGGATTGGAGGGGGGCGGTGTCTGGGTTAAAGACTGAAGTAATTCGTGGTGGCGTCTGATCGGAAAACATTTTAAATGTGATAAACTTACCCATCCAAAATTTATTGTTTTACTGAAGATGGTAATAAGCAAAAAGTCGAGAAAGGGAGAATGGTTAATATGAGGATTGGACATAATAATTCACAATGACCGTCAAAACACTTAATACACGTCGGATATAACATCACCAAGTACACGATATCAGTGCATTATTTGCGATTGCGGGATCGAATCAGAATACACGAAGCAAGTTATCCTCCCAGGGTCCACTATTGTCTCGAGGTTGAAAGTAGGAACGAGGTTGTGCACATCTCCACAAGGGCAATGGTTCCAAAGAAAATAACCGTATGTTAAATAAGGGACCTAGGTATCGCAGTGCACGGTAATATAATTTATGTTTCGATCCAACACTGGGCATGGTAAATTGACGAAACGAGTTCACTTCATGTTCCTCCTGCACTCAACATTATCATCAGGACATTTTATACTTAGCTATTACTTATTAAACCTGTATGTGCTGGGAGAACCAAGAATGTGTCGGGCCTGAAAGCAAGTAAATCGTGGGTCGGAAATTGCACCAAAACGCATTGACATAAGAAGATCGATAACTTTTCCTCCATGCTCCCTATGTTTCTCTATCTACATCCGCTTCTGCAGAGAACGACTAATATATGGGGAAAACATACAATATGCTTTTGCTTATTCGACAAGATATTGCAAATGTAAATGTCCTCATAGAAACTTTTGATCAAAAATACCAAAACGGTATTCAGTCCGGTTGTTTCCAAATTTTATTTTTCATTTTGCTTATATTTTCTGAATATGCAAGCCTAATAATAAATTCATGTAAAAGACATGCAATGTTTTTCGTGCTAAACATGATTGCCATCGTATAAAGCGTCTGTCATTCCCACGTCGAAGAGCGTTCATAACTCAATCTCCGACCATTGTCTGGTTCGGCATGCGACAACAAAATGGTGCATGCACCCGGAAAGCCCACGTGTCATATCTCTCTACAATTCAATTATTTCTGCTTCTCACTTCTCATAATTACATAAAAGACACATGTCTTTCTTTGCCACGGGATCGTTATGGAAACGATATTAAGTAAGATGTAATAGACACGTTAATGTTGAGCATGAGATAGAATGGGTTGCCATGACGACGCAAAAAAAGGTCATCTGAAAATCGCTATTGATTTTGTTCAACAGAAATTGCAGCTAGAGCAATTTTATGTTGTTTTCATTGCATGTGATGTGTGGGGACTTTAAATGGCGATGTTGATGATCGCAAATGACAAACCGGACGACCCTTGTACCGTCCTCTGACTAACACGGGCGTTTTATTGTGAGTGGAAAAGCCGCTATCCCCGTGCCGTCACTCTCGTGAGAAATGATGCTATTCAAGGGGGGAATAAATCAAAGAATAACCTGAGGTCATCTGATTAAAGAGCACAAATCCAGCAAAAAGAGTGAGGGAAATATAGCTACTTAATTCTGACTTGAGGCCGTTTTCGTGACATCTTTACGAGCTAAGATGCATCGACCTTCAATTAACCACAACACGCAAATGCACATAATTTTTTTTCTGGTAATGTTTTCGCAAGGTTTAATTTCATGTCTAAAATAAAACATATTTTGTTTGTAATTTATAGAAATAGGCTCAGTGCAAAATCACCAAAGAAATATAAGGATGTGAAATGTCGGAAAGGGCGGCATTATGATAAACTCGGACCTTTTTTCAGTTGCAGCCTCGGCCCTTAGACGCATTTTTGTAATTTGCAGAAATTGAGTCCAGTGCGTTCGACATTTTGTCAATTGAAGACGTTTATTGATTGGAATGTCCAAAATTTAGCTGAATTGTGACTTTCATTTTCTTATTTGCAGGTGGGGCTGGCTTGGATTTAACTGCGGAAGTACACAGGGAATAACAAAAGACAAGTGGGCGCTCGCAGCCAGGTAGGTTCAATCATCCATCTAATCCTTTTTTTCAGTGCTGCCTTTCATTGTTATAAATATATGTATACCATTGTCAAACAGTGGGGTGAAAATTCAAAAATAGAAAAGGCTAATAGATTAGGGCTAATTGAATGGAGGCGTCATTTTTATTTCTATTGTTTTCATATTTTTTTGTTTATTGCAATGAGATCATTATAAGTTGAGTTGCAAAATAATAAAGCCTTCTTTAGCAAGATGTAGTTGACTTATATTACAGGGTGAGTCAAATAAAGCGGAACCCAAACCCCCAAAATTATATTTCTTATTTAATAAAATATTTAGCCCCAAAAATAATAATGACTGGAAAACCAATTTCATAAGCGACTTTTAGATGAAAAAAATACTGAAAGTACTCAATCTGTGCAAAGAATATCACAATTTAAACACAATGGCCCGCGGGCACATTTGTTTACGTGCATTAGCGACGAATGATGTAACGAAATCAAAAAGTGTGTATTATGTTTTCTCTGTTTTCTTAAAGTGCCACTGAGATTGAACTTCAACAGGTTAGTTTTTATGCACGAAACCTTTTGGCATTTTTGTTGTTTCAAACAAACAAAAACACCACGAATTGCAAATGATCCTATGTACCTTCCAATATTTAGTTGAACCCTTTGGACTATGTGCTGAACTCATCCATCAAATTCAGAGAAGCTTGAAACATAGTGCATGACAACCACAATGGACATTCGCACCGAGACGTTTGTTTTTCTCCCTTCTGATCAAAGTCTCCAATTGATGGAGAGGAGATAATATACAGTCATACAGGAGCAGTCTGTCAGTCGCCGGTAGTCGCCCGAGGCCCTATGGCGGGTTCGAATCCCACCAGGATATGACGCACGTGATTGGCCTGTCAATCTCTATCAACCATGTAGTCTCTGTCAATAAAAACACATCCCCAACGATTTTCCTGCGTTTCTTCTCTCCAACCTGAGCCACTCTTCTCTCAATCACTTATACTTACATCGTCCGCAATGCATGTCCGATGAGGAATAGAATAAAACAAAACGAATATGAATACGCGTAAACAGGCAGACGAGCTACTTGATACTTCCCCGGTTGGCATAGCAACAGTTTGCCTCGCGATTGCACGTATTTTTGCGTCCTCTACACCCCCCCCCCCCGACCTTAAAGAATTGCCAGGGTTTGTTTGCCGATGACAATGACTTGACGGTTATTATTAATGAAAACAACGCCTCGATGATTGTGTTGCATTTGAGTGATCTCGATTCTCACCGGTCAAGTTTGCCATGCACTGGACAGCACTGTTATTAGTAAGTGCTGCCTGTTAGAGGAACAAGCAGCGAGATGGCCGCGGAGCAAAACAGATCACATTATTTACCTCAGAAATCTGGTCACTCCTGGGCAAACAAATTGTGACGGGGTGAAACGAAGTCATGACTGATGTCAATCAGTGAAGCTCCCAGATGTTCCTGTTGTTTCTTTTCATTTCCTCACGATAATATTGTCACAAATTCCAAGTTAGAATTATATTTCAATTCATGCAGTTAATTTATAACAGTGCTATCTAAATTCCAAAGAGTGAAATTAGGGACTAAGCGTTTTAGAGTAAAAATCCCTCTCATCTTCGATTGACATGAAAAATGAACCACATCAGTCAAAGCTCGAGTGAAACCTCGATCTTTACGATTGAAGACATTTTACCCTAAAACGTCTAGTCCCTAGTTTCCGACTGTGGAAGTAAATCTTCAATCGAATGGAGTGAATTTTCACTCTTCGGAATTTGGAGAGTACGCTCCTGGCCTGACATAACCGTGTTTTTTTTCAAAGACGGGACGGATTGCAACCTCCTCATTATTGTGCCTAATGACATATTTTTTATTTGAACTCGGTTTACATTTAGAAATGTCCATGATCATTACATCTGCAAAGTTTTAGGTCAATTGAATCAACATTTTTGTTATAATGGTCATTAGAATTATGATGGTCATCAAACGTCCGTCCACGAATGAACACTTCTTCCCCCAAACCACGGAAAACAAACTGAGCAGTTAAGAAGTGCAATGGCATTTAGAAGACATCGCCTTCATCAGCACCAGATAATGAATGGGGTCGGTTGTATATATATACTAGGAAAAAAGTAAATAAATAAAATGTGATGAAATTTGGACTAATAATCAGCGGTTTTCATGAATACTATTTTGTCTCGGAATTATGGTTTAGACGTGCAACAGACTGTCTGTGAGTCGAGTCAGTTTTATCGCATGAATTACCTTGGTGATAGGAGTACGGATAACAAAACAGATGGAAAATGGATAATGGATGGACATAAATGGCAGTGAAGGCGACGGGCAATCTGCAAGCAAACGTGTTGGCTTTTTGAATTAAACTGGTGAAGAGTGTTTACGAAGGAACGAACGCCATAACGAGGAATCGGCATTCCTGTGCGGGTTTTGGTATAGGAAGAAAGTTGGAATGGCGCCCGACACGTTTGTAGGAAATTGGTTTAACGGAAAAGAAATATTTGCATTTAGATATTGAATTGGAGAGAAAGGTACGGGGAATTTCATTAGCATGGATTTGTGTTACTGGATAGGAGTGTCGGACCGCGTAAATTGTTGAACTCGAAATAAAATTACCCCCAAAAGGCGAGTATTGAACAATCACAACGTCGTGGCATAACCGTTTCAATTCTCTGAAATAGAGAAACGAAAACAAAAGGACTTCACGAATGAATTTTGATTTGTGGAAGAGTATGAACAATTGTGAAGAACTATAGGGCTTTGTTGACACTGTCTGCTATTTATTAATATTTACATTGACTTGACCTTAACACCAATCCGATTTTGAAATGTCGGTGATGGTGATGGTAGCCATTACTGCGGGGTGCTTATATGCCTTAACGCGCCTATCACACGTGCGTTTTTTATGTATCTGAACAAGTCACTAAAAAGGGAGTGCAATGTGTGACATACCAAATAGCGATATTTGGAGCGTCCAGTAATGGCGGAAAGCCAGCCCAGTAATCACAGAAAGTGGGCAACACGGAGCGGTCTATAATATACAATGTAATTTATGACAATTGACAAAGATGAGTGAATCTCGTTGGCTGATAAAGTATACTACAAAATTTTTTTTTAAAGATGACAGGCTTCCCGAAAACACTTACCAATGTGAGTGACCTGAAAAAAATTATTTGTAAAGGTAAGTAGGGCTACACGATTCCATACGAGAATGATCGTTTACCAGTGCGCAAATTGAAGTGTAAGCTTTTAGCAAAGTCCGACTACATTATGCTAATGTAATTATTGTGGTTTTGCTGTTGCAGGTCTGCTGTTGCTACAATTTGTTCGTCCATGGCTGGAGGTATAGCTGGGATTACATTGAGGTAGGCATTCATTTGTGCTGGTCCCATCAGAGGGCCAGTCTAGTATACAAAATAGTTTCATTTTATTTCATGTATTATTTCTCAGTTAAGAACACAAATAGCCACAGCTAGAATACACCATAAAAAAGCATTACTCACATTTGACTAGAAACCAGTCAAATTTGACTAGCTTTTCAGGGTGAGCTGAGTGCAACTGAAAATCAGTCAATCTGACTAGATTTTGCCCGTCAGTATTATTGACTATAGGAGAAATAGTTATGCAAAATTGGAGTCAAATCCAACTACGTTTTCTAGTCATAGTATGAAACGTTGCATGTTTAACTAAATTCCGAGTCAATTTTCAATAACTAGGAAAACCAGTCAATAGTTTGACTAAGTTGTTTTTAGGGTGGTATACAATACAAACATTGAAGGTAACATGCCAGTGCAAAAAAAAAACCCAAAAACCCCCACAATATCGATATTCACCCCTGAAGGATTGCCAAAAGCGAACTTAATCACTATCTGGTGGCTCTCCCTAAAAATGCTATCAAGTACAAAGAAAACAGAAACATGCATGTATAAAATACCCAATCCCATCGAAAAAAAAATATTGCTGTTAGGAAACAAAACAAAAAAGCATATTAAGACCAAGACAATGCAAGACTGGAATATCAAATAGTTTGAGGGTATATAGTCGGTATTATCTCCCCTGGGCATTGTAAGATGACAAACTAGCTCCCAAAGCGAAGTCCAGGAAAGTTTGTCAACTTGCATTAGCGAATTTTGATTTCCATACCGTTAACACATACAGCTTATTCTACAAACTTTTTTTAGCCATTCTGGATTATTAAAGTGAACTTGTCGCGCTGTGGGATCAGCTTTACTAGGCTTGGCTTGTTTTGTTTACTACGTCGCAGATGAAGTCTTGGATTGTTTTTTTAGCTTGCTGTTTTTGATCAGTTCGCTAACTCGAATTTGAATTTTCAGTAGTTTGTTTTTATTATTTTGGACTAACGAGCAAGCTTCTGCTATTTCGATGGGTTCTCTTAATCTTGTTCTTGTGATACCTGGTAATCGCTTGGTTAATGCGTATAACGGCACCAAAGATTCTTTGTTGGGCAACTTCAGCCTCCAAAATGGCGAGGCTCATGTGGGGTCAAAGTTCGTTGGTGTACGTGGTTTATCCCCACCACCTTTGTTTCACATGACAGTGACGTCACTGTTTTCCAAAACAATTATGATTAAATGAAAGCAGACAATACAAAAAGACGATGTTCGTACATATTAATGCATTTTTACTTCACTTGGGCTAATTACTACGTGACTTGTACCAAAAACTAAACACCCACAGATTGAGAAACGTGGCTTCTCACACGTACACATTCCTTCTTGGTGCAATCGTTATCACCTTAAGTGTGCGTCCACTATCCTCAAATTGACGCTCATTGAAAGATGCGTCAACAATGGTTTCTTGGAATACGAACACAATATCCGGATGAAATGCCCAGCAGAATGATTGCGGAACAGCTTTATATCACAGTGATAAAAGAGCGTGTTAGTTGACCTCTAAAACCTGCGAGATTTTACGAGAATACAGCACATCCGGGCACCATGAATATACCTTTCTAATTTTTGTAAACATTGAGCGCCATTTTGTATCAGCTGCCACTAGGGCATAAATAATATTGAAGCTGGTTGGCAACGGATTTATCCAAAAAGTCCTCATAACCACTCATTATACAAGAAAAAGGCATGTTTGAGAAATGGTTGTAGCGTTAGTTGATTATTTTGCATTTTCAACAATCAAATAACATTTTTTTGTAATTATTCGTATAACTATTCTTCATTTTTGCAGTGTTGGGCCTTCTATAGTTTTGCAACCCATGGTTGGCAAAATGTGCCAACCACGGGTCGGCAATAGGAAGGTCTATAGGATCCACAACGTGTGTAACATCCTATTTTTTTACATTTATTTTGTGTCCTGACTGGGCCCAACCAATTAAGGACAATAAATGGATACTTCGAAAGAAAATAATTGCGTTTTAATGACTATTATAAAATTAAAACTGTTTAACCTCATTTTCTGTTCAATCGATCACGCGGATGACAATCGGGTAAATTCAAAGACGTGAGTCTGTGTCAATGTTTGGTATCAAGACGTTCACGTAAAAAGTGAACGTGGACTGGCGAAACTTACAGTCTCCATTTCAGACTCAACTAGGAAAGTGATAGTACATCCCCTTGTGCAGCAAAGGTCTATGGTATGTGAGCAGATTCGGCGATTAATTATGCAAAACAGAGTCGGTCCAGACTGCGTCTTGACCTCGAGATTCTGACCATTCAGCGGGCGCTTTCTATATTAGTCTGAGTATCACCCGTTATCCACGGAGCCAAGTCTCCTGTATAACGTCTGATATGTCAAAGCATGCGGATTTATGCGATCTCGCGCCTCAGCCAATCGGAGTCAACTTTACTAAATCGTGACATCATTTCATTCCCAAATCAGGACTAAAGGTGTGATTGGTCAATTCGAATGCAGCGTGTTTTGTAATACAACAACAGCCAGGCGCGTGTCGCGTAACATAATTCAGAGCGCTTGACCACAGCCTTTGTTGCTGTGTCTAGGGTATTTTTTTAAATTTTTTTTGAAGAAAACAAAAAATGGGCTAATAGTGATATTTAAAAAGTGGGAATATCAATTTGGCCAATGCAAACATGGCAAAACTACAGGATACGCCCCAACCCAAGCCCGTGCACCTCCCGATGGCGCCGCCCTATAAAATTTGAGAAGGAAAAGAAGATTGATTTTTCATTGAAAATATCACCAATCCCATTGAGCTAGTGCTCCTTCCTAGGAAATGACCAAGCCGCCCCCTCCTTGCTAAGTCGACTCTAGTTTATAAATACACCACTACCCTTGAAATTCAATTTCACTCCAATGTCGCACGAGAAATCCTGTGAGGAATAAAGAACAGTCTCGTCACTGTGGACTGAGCTCCCCCGGATTGCTTATTACTGGAAACCCTCTTACAGCGACTGACCACCACGATCGATAAGGTTCACTAGAGGTGAAAGACGAGAGAAATCGCCATACACTAAAGGCCTTTTTGTTTAATATCACAGTATTCTTTAAAAGAAATAGGAGGATCGAGGATTTTTTTCTCGGACGGGGACGGCTGAGATATTGAAGTCCATGAATTGTCGAGAGGTGCTTAAGGCGTTAAAGACAACACAAGTCACAAACCAATGAAAGGCTAATGGCAGTATTGTTATCTATTCCAACCATTGTAGCCCTTTAAATTCGACCTTAGTCATTCTTATTTTGTAAGTTTCTTCTGTACAACTTAACAACATCTTGAAGGATAACGTAATTGAAAGTAGTGGTGCACGTGATTTATGCTCAGGCCGTGTAAGTCTCGCAGCAGCAAATGACGAGAAGACTGACTTGGCTGCTTCCGGCACGACAGTGTTCTATTTAAGCGTGTTTCTTGGAAGTAATCCCAAACGAATTGGTTAATGGATTGCAAAAGCAGCACCACAATGCACGTCTAATGCCAAAGCCAGGCTGGATTTTTTTGTACAGTAACAATCGACCCATTTTACAAGTGATTCATATTTTGCCTTCAGAAACTCTACTACACTGAATTTAAAGTTTAACGGTATAGAAAGTGCTTGAATGGATGTAAAACGCGGATTTGTACCTTGCATGTAGGGACCTACACCAATGTTTCCGCCATGAACAGCGCCAGCTAGTGCTAGATTGTGTTCAGCTCCCCCCCCCCCCTTCCCCAAGTTCGGAAAGTTTCACGATTTTAATTGAAATGACTGAATTCTCTTTTACTGTTTCAGTTACCTGACGAAACGAAGAAAGTTCGACATCGGGTATTTGATCGATGGCGTGTTGGGTGCATTGGTGTCCATTACCGGTAAGAAATTGAAAGATTATTGGTATCTCATGCTGTGCATGATTTGTTTTTTGGGGGGGGTATGTGAATTTAAGGCAATAGTTACCAGATCCAACAACATGAATCCCATAAACACTGCTTACAAGGATCATTGTTATAATTGTATACTACTCCGTTTGATATTACGGTGACTTGGTTATATTGACTTCTTATTCGTACCGTGTGGTAACTTACACCTTTGAACTTGAAAAAAAAGGTTTATGGTTTTGGACTGGTACCAAGCCTGAGCAAAGGTTGACGGATACAAAACACAATGGTAATCGTAATTCAATTACATACCACAATTCGATTAGTGAAATTTGAATAGTCACTAATACAGTTACTGATTGACTTGGGAGTTAACAAGTGCAGTGCAATTAATTAACTGATGAGCGTCAAAACTAAAGCGTCTAACTCCAACACGCGTTACTCAGGAATCAACCCTCTCCGAATTTCCTCTCAGTTTTTGTGTATTTAGCTCCGATTGGATCCCAAATATAAATTCAAGTCACTCATGGGCGAAAAGCTTAAATTTCATGGCGCTATTTAAAAAATAAAATACCTTAACGTGTTTCCCCTCAGTGTTGTGTACTGCTGTCACAGAAGGCTTTTACTATGTCTGCTCGGTGTGGTAAATGGTCAATGACTTAAGAAGTGAATTGTTAATCTTAAGATGTAGAGTACCATTCCAAACCAACCATGCACCCCCGCCCAAGAAAAAAAAACTGCATTAGCGTTCATAATTTCAAAGGTTATTCTTTCAAATATTACCGCAGGGACAAGGCTAATTGTTTGAATTCATAATGTCGTGGTCGGTGTTGTTGAAACACTCGTGAAAAGAAACATGAACAGGCATTTTCTGTAACGTCTTTCATTTCAGTATGCATCACAATAGCCATTAAGTCAAGGACGCTAAGGTATTCAGCGCTACCAGTGCATGTCCAGACCTTGAACGTATATAATTACAAAGAGCACCTGTAATTTGCTGGGGAAAAGTGCAGGTGAATCGAACGTTCTCTGAGAACTAACGAAGTGGATGTTTTGTTATGTTGGAGTTTAGCAATTAAGGGGTTATACAATGTAATTTGCTTTAAATGCAATCCTTCAAAATGCACCTTTGTGTCCCATTTAACCTTATTTTCAATTTTCGTTTTGCCATTTTCAAGGGTGTTTTCTGGCCTTTTTTTGTTTTAAGGCTAATGCGAATTTCCATATTCATGAGCAAATGTATAATGTCATTTCAGGCAGAAAACTCAATGTTACAGCTATTTCAGCACCATAAGTTGCCAGAAAGTTGGATCTTTTTGCGGTGATTCGTTGTTGTGTTAGTGTATGGCAGTAAGCCAATCAGCAAACTTTTCTTACAAATATTTTCATTGAAAAAAAATGGGTTCACAATTTGAACAGAAAACACCTAAACTAAACAGTGTCTTCATGAAATGACATCACAGCAACAGCGCCCTCATTGTCATGAAAAGCTCGTAAAATTGTTTATATTTATAAAGAAGTGCACTTTTCAATAAAAAAAAAGGAATGTCAAATAGTTTTTATACATTTCAGAGAAGTATAAAGAAAGTTTCTCAAATGTGTTCCTAAGAAAAATGCATCTCATGGAACCTTGAAGGACGAAACATAAAATTCGTAAAATACAGCGTCACAGCTGACCACGAGAACTAACGCACTAGAGGTTGAAATTAATTCAATATACTATAATATTATAATTGTGCTCAGAATCCGTTTTAGACATGATAGGGGAAAGGTCGCTTTTCTCAGCCTGGGGAGAAACACTCCCGAGAAAAACATCACGCGTTCCCGACCTAGTTAAGACTGAGCAACCCAATCCACATGGTGTATCCAATGTGAACCGAACGATGGGTCTTGCAAGTTGCATACAGAAAAGTGATGGATGATGCATTAAAGCTTATAAACGGGGCGATATCGGGATGTATAATGATAGCGTTGATAGTTTGTGCTTTTAGCAGTAAAAACCCTTTTTTATTTAATGATTGTCTATGCATAACATATTATTCAGTAAATGTTACGTTTACGACACTCCCTGATATAGGTTAGCATAGGTAAAACATGTTGATTTTAAAAGTAACACTTTAATTTTCAAGGTGAAAAGACGAACTGTTTGAAACGTCGTGTAAACCAATTCTCTGCAGAACCAACTCAGAAGAATGCCGCAAAATCCTGTACTCAACATGATATAAATTAATGTTCTCTGCATAATGTACTGCCTACGTGGTAATAACGGGCATAAGACTATATGGTGCCTCAATTCTGTCTCGATTTAGAACAGAGGCTATCATTGATGTGTGTTTTAATACCCCTGTTTGCATTCAAGTGCATTAGATGTTCTTGACACGCACCAAAGTACAGCTGAACACAAAACCGCGATAAATTAAAAACAAGAAAGGTCTCGTTTTTCCCAACTATCGAGACTGCAAATGAACCATCAATCAAACCAGGCTACTTTGCCTCCGTGAAACTTGCCATTTAGCGCTATGAGCGTCAGCATACAGGACGTGTTAATATAGACAAGTTAAAAAATTACTCGCACTTTAGAAATGCATGTTGCACTGTGTGTAATTAATTTCGCGGCCACAGTTGTCCCCCAAAAGCGTATTTTTATACTGTTAAGAACATGAGGAATCCTGTCGACTTTTTACGCAACTGCCTACATCGCGTGGACAAATTCTTCGAAGTCGGCAAACGTTTACCCAAATCAACCAATAATTGACGAAGCTTCAAACGACTTGTTGGGTATTGCAAAACGCTCTTTCAATATGTTGTTGTACATTAAAGAGATTTCAATTATTCCAACTGTGCAAAACGCACATCATATATTTGACAATTTTTACATTGGGATAAACACGGCGCCGATATCAATGTACACACATTGTATCTATGTGGCAATGTAGCCGATTTCTGCAATTTGCATTGTTAATCTATGCAAGCAAAAGGAGGATAAAAAAAGTTTACTTTGTTTGTCATTACTTCACAACTCTACTTGTTTTGTGGTTCCCTCTGTATAATTTGCACGCAGAAGGCATATTGTTTCCCAATGTTGAAATTCGTACAGACTACGGAACTGGCCTATCGAGACTTATTTCAAATTGACACTGAAATCAAGGACCTCGGTGTTGTCTGTTTGTGGTGGGGATTAGGCCTAATGACGACATACTCTTCAACGTCATTCAACGGTTTTACACTGAGAGGCTCGACCTTGCAGCTAATGGACCTTCTTATTCATAAATTCATAATCATTGTAACCAAGTGGTTAAAAAAAAACAGAAGATACAGACTAAAGACTATGCCCGTGATTCAGCCACGGTGAAGCCCGCCGCCGCGCGCGATTCAGCACCGCGAGTCAGCACCGCGATTCGGCCCGAAATTTGGTGGACGGGTACCCCGAAGCACACCGCTATTCTGTTTTACCCGTGCGGTAAGGAGCCCTGCTGAATTCCTTCACCCTCGTGCGCACGTGACGAAAGCAGTTTTTAAAGATTTTATTCTGTGCTCCCCCCCAAAAAAAACCATTTAGGCCAGAACGTAATGCCTATGGCGATTTTAGTGGCTTTTCAAAACAAAACAAAGCGACAAATCCTGGAGAAATTGAGAGAAATGACCCAAATATTTGGACCGCTGTACATTTTCAATTGACCGCTTTCGCTTCTTGCCGCCAGGCCCATTTATCTGCATGCCTGCATAATTATGAATGTAATATTATTAATGTAGTATAAAAGGTCCATTATAACGTAGTTGAAATTCGTCTATGAAGGGAAACTATTATGGACAACAAAGGCGTTTTAATCACTGAGGTGCATCATCCATGACATACTGTTTTGATTTGTGATGGTGAAATGGGAATATTTCTTCTTCTGTCTTTGCAGCTATGTGCACTCTGTGTCCTCCCAAGTTCTCCCTTGTGATTGGTCTGATAGGCGGTTGTATCGCGTGTGGGGGCGTGGAACTCCTGAACAAACTCAAGATTGACGACCCAGTGGGCGTGGTCCCGGTCCACTTCTTCTGTGGGATCTGGAGTCTGGTGGCGGCTGGACTATTTGTCAAACACGACGACATCGTGGAACAGGGAGAAGTTGTGCATGATGGCTTGTTCATGGTGAGCAAGCATTCAGGCATTATTCATTACATTCATTTGCATATTTGTAGGAGGAGCTCTTTGCCGCTCCCACATTTCTTTCATGGAAATGCTCCAGATTTGTACTCAAGTCAGTCACAAGTCAGTAACGAGTCACATTACGACTTATTCGTAAGTCAAATCACAAATCAATGTCAAATCAAAAGCCAAACTCATGTCAAAAACAAGTCAAATCATACTTCAAACTCATTTATCTCGTCCGCTCTTTAGGTTAAAGTGACAACCGTTTAACGGTTCGAAAACTAACTTCAAAGTCCTAATTGAACTTCATGTGTGTGTTTATTTTTTCCCCGACTATGGCAGGGTGGTGGGTGGACATTGCTAGGTATTCAGCTATTAGCCGTCGTCTGTATCTCAGCCTGGTGTGGCATCATCGCCTGCCTTATTCTGAAGATTTTATCGATGACCATCGGACTCAGATTCCCCTTCCATGAGGAGCTCCTAGGAGCAGACATGGTGGAGCATTCCATCGGTCCTCGTAAGTACGACAAGATCAAGAAACGATTGACCGACTCAGCACGATATCGGCGCTTCGAGCAGCCCCGTAAGCGTCTCCACTCCTCCATGCGACAGGCTGAGGATTTCCTGAGCATGCGCGATGCTACCTTGGATACCAATTACAATGACGTTATCAGACGCTTCCAAGACCGGGAGTCCGACGACCGCAACCGGTCCGGTGCGCGCAAGATGCACTTTAACCCGGCACGGGGGGACACGGTGTTTACGGTTACCAACGGGAACGCTCATGCAATAGCCGTCGAAGAGGGTTATACCAATGGTGACGTCATTACCACTTCCGTTGATGGGGCGGGTCCTACAGATGCAGAACCAACCGATAGCCAGGCAACCGATAGCCAGAACAATATTGCAAACTCTGTGAACAAAAAGCGACGAATCAGCACCCAGTTGATCCGAGGGGCCTTCCGACGCAGGAAATTCGTGTTGCCTAAATGGCAGCGCAAACTGGGAATCGAGAACGTGGCCTACATTGACAACGAACAGAGCGCGAGAGGCAATCCTAGAAAAGCGCGGCGCGTACAGTTTTCGACCGACACGAATCTCGACATTGACGAAGAAACTGTTGAGAACGGTGCCGTGGCGAGCACGTCTCTGAACGGGTCGGGTGCCAGTCCATGCCATGCCAGCGTGCAGGCTGGTTCAGCACACCCAGTGGTCATGGTCGATAAGAGCACGCAGACATGCCCAGTTGCCGAATCGTGCTCGGCCTTCGTTCAGACTAGCGAAGAAGACATTTTCTTACAGAATATCAGCGTCGAGGCTGATTGTAGCTCCATTGAAATGGAAGTCTACTTCGATGCGGATGAGTCGACGCCGGAAACTGACGCTGTGCAACATCCAAGGCGGAAGAGCTTTGCGGCTCAAGACAGTGTCGATGGAGAGGAGGATGATTTAGTCAATCGAACGGCTAACTCAAGAATTGAATATCTAGTTTAGAGGATAATGAAGTGGCCTCTTTTGTATAACAAAAAAAAATGTGTGTTCAGAGCAGACAAAATACCTCAGATGCCAGCTGTGTAAAATAGTTTATTGCATTTATCTTATTTTTTGTAATACATGTGTAAAACATAAACACACATATATACATAAACATGTTGCACTTTCACATATAACAATGGTTTTATTAGCCTTTTAACGAACGCGCGCGTGAGTTTTTGAGGGTGTTTTATACCCTCAAGAAGTATACCTTGAATTGTCATTTCGCTGGTGCGCGATCTCCTTATACACTGCATTGTTATATGAATAATTTGTTGGTATACCAACGTTTCAAATGTATTTACGTTTTAGCAGATAGACGATATAGTTTTGTTTGTTTGCATTGTTGATTGCTTGTTTTTGTTTGTTTTTCCACCTTGAAGTTCGATACATGGGACTGATGTGATATGCAAAATTGATACAGTATTTTTTGTTTCGTGAATTTGCAGGTCTTAACAAGAAGCACGGTTTAAAGAGGAGTTAAATTTAAAGAAAAAAATAGCAAATTTCCACAATTTCCTAATGTAGATGGTCCCTTTAACTTTAGCCCCTTAAAATATATTTCGCATGGCATGAGAAATAGTCCTTTGAAGTGAACAGATGTTACAAGATTGACCAAAGCAGCTCTTCCCGAAATATTCCACCTTTGATCTGTCCGTATATCACCCATGCTATAGTTCCAGCGAATCAGTTATACCATTTGTGTATCTTTCATTGCACTGAGCAGGCGGATTTTACTATCGCTATAAGGTTACACTGTTTCTTGGCAATTTTAAAACTGCCTATGCCGGCCTTTTAACATTTTGGTATGAAATGGTCTTTACCAAATAGGATGAATATGTCGCGGGCACGATGGAAATAGTAGTGAAGACCGCTGTACTGTATAGTTTATGACCCAATCCATGAGACATTAAACACGAGGTGATATTCGCAGCGAAAATATTCCACCGGTTGTAACACAAAATTGTGCTGGTATGTCATACATTCACATATTTCCACTCCAACTAGATCATAAAAGTTATTTATTTATTTATTTATTTTTACAATTTTTGTGAACCTTTTATAAATATACTTAAGAATTTGATTCATGGTTAGTCCTCAACCCAAACACCCCGATAGATGGCTTTTTAACTTTTAGACGGCCATATTGGATCGATAGCGAGGCGAACCTTGCATTTGTTTTTAAACTCAAGATGGTGACTGACCACAATGGAGGCAGATAATACCTCGCTGTGCTATGACAAATCGTTCTGTTTTGAGAGCGAGACGAGCACATTACAAAAATATAGTCTGGCACCTAACCATAGTTTGTAAATGTAGATGAAAATTGATTCGGGTGCAAGATCGAGCGTAGATTCGGTCGCAAGATTGAAAATGGTCGCCTCTTGAAAACGGCCCACAGTAACCTCGTGTCCATGGCCTCGAGCAGTACGCTGTTATAGCTGGTCTTTCGCTCTCTACCACTAGCTGCAGCTCTACTATTGTATCAAGGTTGACAGTAGACCCTGGGAACAAAGTTGGGCCAATAGGCAGTGATTCTCAACGACAAATAATGCCCATGCATACAAGATATGTTCTTATTAAATGGAGGGATTTTAAATTAAATAAAAACAATTAATCGTGTCCTGCCTTTCTCTTCAGTGAGCATTGACTCCCCAAAATGGTTGAGGCACATTGTTCGCTTGGTCACGTGTATTTGTTTGAGGGGAGGATGCCTAAGTGTAGATTTTTTTTTAAATCGTGTCTTACAAAGATGTTTCCCGTGCTGAATACTATAGCTTAATGATATACCCCATTTTGGCCCTTCACATTATTGTCCAATATCTTTTAGACATAAAACAGCTACAAGTTTGGTCACTATAACCATCTTATATAAAGTAGCTGGGATATAAACCCAAAAATTTTTTTAAAAAATTGTAAATGTATCCAACAAAACTGCACTGTATTTTCCCCAACAAATACGCATAATAAAATATATGTATTGTTAAACACATTTTTCAGTTTGCAAGTTCGCTTTTAACTGTATGTTCCATAAACTGTTTAAATTTTGAACTTAGCTTATCACTATTGACTCTGTCCAACATGTGCAAGGAACAGATTTCTATTTCAAGTTCTCGATATTGGCCAAAAGAGGAAGTCTAACCGAAACTCGCGTAGTAATATTGAGGACATACTGGGTTCTCAATGATTGCCATATTCACGAAATGACTCACTTTTAAGAACAGTTTTATGGTTAGAAATTCACTTCGAAACAAAAGTCTTTAGTAAGAGGATGTCGGAGAACAAAATACCATCATGTGAAGGCAACTATAAAAATCACGGGATGGATATTATAACAAAACTTGTTAAGAATGATTTACAACTTCAACTGTATTCAACTTTGAAAGTTATATGATTTCAATATTTGACTTTGCATATTCATGGGGTTCTGTAGATTACACGTTCGAATTCGGAAGAGTTTGTTATATCCGCATAAACGAATTGTAACAAGAAAACTATTATAATAAAATATTTTATATCCAATACCGTTTATTATATACCTATATCTAGATCAAATATAATGTCTGGTATTCCTTTCACTCGTCGCTTTTAAATACGAAAGAACTATATATATATATTATATATGATTGTAACTATTGTAAATAACATGGATAAGTTGTATCCACTGTTATAGGATTTGCAATAACACCTATTTTCACCTTGAGTCTGAGTCTAATATTTCCGTTTCTGGTCGTCCCATTACAGACTATGCCTGCTCCCGTGCAAGACTTAGTTATTTGGTTTTTGTCAGTTGGAATAATTTTAGAGCCATGCCATTTGTCTTACCTCGGGAAATTTCAGCTGGCAAGAAATTACTTATGATGATGAATGAAATTTTACACGGCAACTGGGTCCAGCTTTAGCACAGCGTTTTATGCGCTGTTTATGAGCTCACGATAAAGTTCGTTTGTATTTTGGATACGTATGCAAATTAGGCTCCCCGTAGGTGATGTGTTCTGGACGCACATAACAGCCTGGTGTTAATAGTAAAATTCACATCTGCGTCACATTCACAGTTTGATCTCTTTGGTACTAGATTAAAAAGCTTGATTGAACAATCCATGCATGTTTTGTTGTTGCAAGGCTAGGCTATGTCATGTTGCTGTCGGTACGAACGTCTGTATATACGTACGCGAGTCGAATTTGATAAAAGTTTAAAAAAAAATAAAAAAAAAAAGCTATCTGGACATAATTATGCGTGGTGAAACAGTTGAGATCGTATCTACATACTTGTAAGGATTTTATTCATAATATTAAAGAGACATATGCGTGTTTTCTGAATTCGGACGGTTTGCATTGTAAATAAATTTTAATACAATAGAACATATTTTTATGCTAATTCTATGTTGTCACTCAGGGGCGGATCCAGGAATGTTTGCAGGGGGTGGGGTTTCATCAGTAAAAAAAAAATCTGAAATGTAGACAGTTTTTTTCTCAGTAGGGGGGGGGGGGTCGTACCATACTTTCAATTAAGGGGGCTGTTCAAATCCGACGCTTATTAATACTTTGTTACAGAATAGTGTACAAATATCCCCTAACCAAGCTGGCTCTGTCCGTATTTTGTTGACATGCGAACATTATTACCAGTATAATTTTTTGGGTGTCGGAGCAGGGGGTGGGGTGGGGGTTTTACGAATTTCTATGAAACAAATCATTTTGACAGAGCTGAGGGTGTTTTGACACCCCCCCCTCCCCAGATCCGCGCCTGTCACTGTCCAATCAGATCACGAGTAAGGAGTTCCCATGCCCGGACTCTATACTATTGGAAACGAGGTTAGAAATAAAGCAGGCTCTGGGAACTAGGTTGGTCTGAGAAGGTTAAAAGGCAGTGTTGTAGGTCTCGAGACCGGTCTCGGTCTCGGTCTCGGTCTCGAGACCACTTTTTGCTGGTCTCGGTCTCGGTCTCGGTCTCGGGAGCTGTATCTCGGTCTTGGTCTCGGTCTCGGTCCCCTTTGGTCTCGATATTTTGGCTGGTCTGGAGTCGAGACCAGCCAAAAAGTGAGGGGGCGGATTTCGCCCCGGCCCCAGTTTAGGATTAAGTAGGGAATCAGTTGAGGGCAAATGTGACTGCAGTGTAATGATGATAGACATGTCTCTCTTCACTTTCTAGTGAGTGAGGCATAGTCCAACAACCATTGCTCCTTTTCTTGTTTCTTGTTTTTATTGTGGGATGGTTTGTTGAAACAAGCACTTTATAGCCATCCTCATTGATTCCAAATACAACTGAGATTAAAATCTTATGAATCAAAATTGAAGCATTATTTTTACGTCAGATTTTTTGTTTTGAATATGGGAAACAATTAAACTCTTTTTCCCCAGAAATATTGGTGATTTTTTTTCTATTTTCCTTTTCAATTTTTACTTTATTCGTGGAGGCGGGAAAACGTTTTGTTTTTTCATTATATTTATTAATGGATATTCATCAATTCGTAGACAGTTAAATTGCTATTAGTGGTGGACAGCTGAATTTTGTGATCTCTTTATTAAAATAGGCACGACTTGGGAATAGAGAATGCAAAATTTTCAGAGTTACTACTCAATAACATGCTCTTTATCCCAATTATATATATTTTTAAACAAATATGGAGGGTGCCATTTCTTTCTTTTTTTATCATACTGTCACTTTATTTTTGACTTGCCATGTATTCATCTTTTCATTTGTGATAAACACAAATTGAGCTACTGCAATAGTCACACAAAAATAGAGTCTAATTGCCTGCCTCGTCTCCTTTCTAAATGTCAATTGCGTTTGCATGAGTCGAGAAGACTTTTGTTCCATTAATTGCTAAAAGCTGTTTACGGCCATCACAATAACCAAGAGTGAAATATTGGCAATATGTTGTACTTGTAAATTACTAAAATATTCAAGTAAATCGCCCGGCATAGTAGCCGATGCGGGTGATACGCTGGTACAAAACACAAATAGGCGTGCGCACGCAGCCATGAATCCTAAAAGTACATCTCGCCCACCACATTCAGTTTGTGACAGCGCCCTTCTATTGTGTCGGCCATATTCTCAAATAGGCTAATGACGATGATGACGGCGGGCAGATTAACAGAAGATAGATCAGGCAAATATGGTTCATCAATCTTCTATAGTGTATGTAATGGTATTGACATTATACACAAATAAAGTGGCAATACATTTCAGCCTAAGCCAGGCCTCTCTGGCGACCACCTCTCAATTTTTGGGTCTACATGTACAAGTTATATTCCATGACTGAAATTTTAAAAATAAATCAATATTTTCTTGCTCCAAATTATTTTTTCATCAGGTTTACAAGGAGGTCCAATGTAACATTAAAGCTGCTTTTAAATATCTGTTAGTAGTCATTGCTGAAACCAAGGGGTGGCTGTGGAGTTTTGGGTCCGGTAAAAAATTAGGTAAGTCCCTATAACAGATGACACATCCACCTTTAACTTTTTACTTTTGTCAAGTTTCAACATCGCAAAAAACTAGTACAAATTGCCGTACTCCTAAGTTAGAGTTTCTTCATCAGATTGACACTTTATAGTAGTTAAACAATATTATATTTAAAAAAATATGCTTTTAAAAAAGCATATTATAAAAAAAATATATCGAGTTCATCAAATTAGGTTTTCCCCTTCTTTAAATTAGGTTGTTTCCCTTTTTTAATTGATTGTGACAATAACAAAATATGTTGCCATGTTGTAATTTATGGTATGAAGCAAACATGAAGAGCACTCGCATGACACAATTAAGCAGGTACAAGTGATTCCTGCTTTCAATCACTTCCTTCACATCCCCATCAACATCATCATCTCAAGGACAGACTGTTCAGCTGTAATTAGTGACTTGTTTTTTTATTTAGATTATTGTTATTTATTATCCGTGGTCTCGGTCTCGGTCTCGGTCTCGGACCATTTCGGTCTCGGTCTCGGTCCGCCTTGAAGGGGTTGGTCTCGGTCTCGGTCTCGGTCTCGGTCTCGCAACTTCAGGTCTCGGTCTTGGTCTCGGTCTCGGACTATCCGGTCTCGACTACAACACTGTTAAAAGGTACCAGATTTCATGGGAGTCCGAATATAATATACGACATCGAAAGTCAGGAGTCGGAATTTCACGTTGCGTGGTCAAGCAACAAACTGCACCCAAATACCTATTCCCAGAGCTGATCCCGGCGCGGCGATCGAGGGCAAAGACGAGTTTATTTCATGTCAGATTTTTGTAAAGGATCTGGCTAGGGATACTCATTAAAGAAAGCATTTCCATGTTTTGAATGTTTTTTTAAAACATTTTCTATTGTGGAGTCGGCATTATTGCTTCAGCCCGTTCCCACAGCTCTATTCCAATGACCCCGGTTATATTTGAACTTGGACGGATCATTACCAGGTGACCTGGGCATAGTCTGGTTCCCTGACCCCACCCCGGAAATCCGTGTAATGTGTGCAAATGATATGCAAATGATATGCATGACGTATATAAGTCTGAATTCCGCCTCCTATTATGATATGCATTCAAAATCACAACGGTAATGTTTGTGCACAACCAGCATATTGCAAAATAGGCGATAGGCCACGAATGAACAATTTCGGAGGTAATGAGCTTCGATTTTTGCTGAATTTGAAAGTATCTCTGGCAAATATCAATAAAGAGAGGAATATTGCTGTTCAAAATTTACAACCTATGCAGTTGAAATGCTTGAAAGTTGCTTTCATGGAGACACTGGTGAGTTTGTGTACTTTTTGTGGTAAGACAAGCGTGAGTTTCTAGATGATCGTGAGTTCAATCAGCGGCGCGGCATCCATACACAAAACTGTATACACAAAAGTGAATCGTGATCCAATCAAAGGCTGTAAATGGGAGCTAGTTACCGGTCCCCATATATTTTTCTGGGGGGGGGGGGGAAACAGTCTAACCTGGGCCAATGATGTGACACGTGCGCACGAAATGCACGTACATCGTTAATGGTAAGTGACCTACCAACAATACTTTGCGAGACTGCGTTTCCTTCACAAGATTTATTAAAACGGATTAGCGGTCACGTGAGCATCCCTGGATAGGGCGTTGGGGGCGAGTGACGGAACAGGCTTGCATTATTGAACTGAAGTACATAATAAAAAAACCTTGACGAATACCGTCCATGTACTAGAAAAAGAAAAAAGGTTCGTTGGCGTCGTTGCTTATGCTGTTTGCCAGGCGCGGTTCTACGGGGGGGGGGGGGGGCTAGGGGGGCTGTACCCCCCCCCCCCCCCCTAAATTGTGTCTAGCCCCTCCAAAATAAATCCGTTAAAAAAAAAAATGCATTAGCAAAAAGAAGGATTGTGATGTACATGCGAACGGTCTCCCCCTAAAGAAGAAATAGCTGTGACAAGGGTGCATTAGTTAATATAGTGTGAATGATTTTAGGATTTTATTGGCGCTCCCCATTGAAAATATGGCATGAGCCCCCCCCCCCCCCCCCCCCCCCCCCCCCCCCCCCTATTGATTTTCGGAAGCCTAAGTGTCTGAAAAAAATAACCGGTCTACATTTCAGCACGCCTCCCTGAAAAAATTCTGGATCCACCGTGCTAGCCCCCCAAAAATATTGGTTCTAGAACCGCGCCTGCTGTTTGCTACAACACATTAAACGCGATGCATTCGAATGCCTTCAAATGACTGACGTTGACCATTCCGGCCTCTCGTAATGGCCAACTATGCAAATA